CACACCAAGAAGACCCACCGCACCGACGTCCAGTGCAAGAACCGCATCGACACCATCAAGAAGAAGTACAAGTTCGAGATGAATAGGGTTTCGTCCTCCAACGGAGCCCTAACCTCTTCTTGGCCTTTCTTCGAGAGGCTTGACGCTCTCATCGGATCTAACTACAAGAAGCCGTCTCCTTCGCCCCCGGTCGCTGTTCCGTTGCCTTTAGGGTATAGGAAGACGCCGTCTCCGGCCACCGTTGTGACGGCCGTGGCGCTGCCGCAGAAGCGGTCTGCGTCGTCTGCGGCGGTCGACGAGGGTTCCTTCAGGATGAATTACTCGGCTGTGGCTGCGGCGGCAGCGGCAGGGGCTGAGGATGATGACGACGAGGACGAGGACGAGGATGAGGACGACGACGTGAACTACGAGGTTGATGAGGAGGTTGAGATGGAGAGGGAGAGAGATAGCGGAGGCGAGATTGGAGGTGGAGGAGGAGGAGAAGGGTTGAAGAGATTGGCGAGAGCGATTGAGAGGTTCGGGGAGGTGTATCAGAGAGTGGAGGCCGAGAAGTTGAGGCAGATGGTGGAGTTGGAGAAGCAGAGGATGCAATTCGCCAATGATTTGGAGGTGCAGAGGATGAATATGTTCATGGACACGCAGGTCCAGCTCGAGCGGATCAAGCACGGCAAGCGATCGGGCTCTAATGGTGAGGCAAATATTTCCTCTTTCTTGTGTGTGTTTGGTTTGAGTTTGTAAAATATATTCACTTAAAATGATGATTGGATAGAGTTGTGGTTTGATGGATGCTTTTATGTCTTTGTGGTCTGGAGTTTTTGGTTTGTGCTTGTATAATCTTTTGGCTTAAATTGATTGGATGGTCTGATAGATGTTTTATTGTTTGTGGTAGTAAGGGGAATACCTACTTAATTGTTTGAAAAAGCTGTTGTGGAGATTCTTGATATACCTTGGGTTTGAAGCATCTGTTAATTCTGGAGATCCAAACTCACCCCACCCTGATTGAGAAATTAAAATTAGGGTTCTTATTTGGAACTCTGAACTATGCTTTGGCAATGTAGTAAAATCAATCATTGAAGTTGTATTGCATACGTTAATTGGAAACTATTTGCTTGTCTCCACTGCCAAAATTTCAGCTCCCTGTTTGTATTGGTTATAAGCTATAACACGAAGGCCATTGCTATTGTGTGATTCCTAGACTTTTATGCATTTTTCCTATCTGGCTAGGTATTCATTGCGTGATTTAAGAGGGTTAATTTTTGTTAAATGGCTTTCACACGTTAGGAACTTGGTGGGTTTGAGTTGCTAAAGCTCCTGACATGCAATTCATGTATCTGAACAATGTTTCAGAGATATGAAGAACTCTGAATTATTTGGAGGAATTCAAAGCTTTGGTCGGGCTTAACTTAACCTGAACTAAGTTTTAATTTCTAGAATAATTGATGATGGCAAACATATGTATCCTATGGAGGCTAGGGGTCGGGGGTGGGTTTAGCTTGTTCATGGAGCGCGCTGGTGTTCATTCTGCCTTTTGCTTACTTTTGTGAACCAGTTAAAATCCTCTTCTCACAATTTTTTTTATCTCATGGATAACCATTTCTACCTTGAATTTTCATGCATTTAGAAGCATTCTGTTGCACATCACCAGCTGGTTGAAATGTGGATGGTTTTAGAAACCTGTTGATTTCGTGCTGTATCAAATATCTGATAATTATGACACACCAAAATAATTCTTGTATTGTCTGTTCCATAAACTTTTCCCAATTCTAAATTGTTCGAGTAAAGTAATATGCTTGGTTTCCTTCTACTGCATGCTATATAATTGTTGAATTTCAACAAACACAACTTATTTTCACCCTGTTGTTGTCTATAGCTTTAATGCATGGATGTGAACGTTTGTAAAGTTGAGCTCTGAGAGTTTTATATAGAGTTCTATCAATTCGTAGAACAGAAGAACAGAAACATATCCTGGTAAATCTTTTCAGATTTAAGTTTTTTATTCCATTAATGTCTCAGCCCTCTCCCTCCCTCTTTGTGTGTGCTGGTTGAGATTGCTATCTTATTTCTCTGTTCAAAATTTTATGATACTCACTCACAACTTTTGGGTTTAGAGAATGTCAAGCATCAGTTCCCTGGGAATCTAAGTTCATGGCCTTTACTAACGTTCACTAAATCATCTTGCTAGGTTGGTAACATTAACAGTGGAGTGATATGTTTTCCACGAGGGTAGCTGGTGAGTGAATTATATCGTTGTAATGTGCAGTTTTAGTGATGTTCTTAACTAATTATGGATGAGGCATTAGTGCTTTCGCTAACAGTAGGTAGTTTCAATAAACAAGTCTTAAACTGCAGGCATTGGACACCATAAACAACTAATTATGGATGAGGCATTAGTGCTTTCGCTAATAGTAGGTAGTTTCAATAAACAAGTCTTAAACTGCAGGCATTGGACACCATAAACAGAAATCCCTTTTTTCAATAAAAAGACGTAAAGTACTTGAGTTAGACATGACTTGACATTGAAATGGGTATGTTTTGGATGTGGTTTCAGGGCTTATTGATAGCAAAAGATGAAGATTCCCATTAAAGTTCTGAGTTAGATGCTTTCTGATCTTTCTTATATTGCTTGAAGTAAATTCGCGCTGCTTGTGATTGTGGTTTTGAGTCAGCTGAGTTTCTCGTGGCGTGTTGGCATTTCTTGAATCAGAGTTTTAATGCAAATTTGATTTCTAAGAATGGTTTTGTGGGTTCTCGTGTTGCAGATATTTATATGCGGGGAGAGCTTTAATGGTAGACTTCCATGGGAAGCATAATGTAGTATCTTCTTGATTATCCTACAAAGTACATATTGTTGCAGCTGATACTGGACCTAGAGAAACTACTGGCACAACAGTCCCAAGTTTTCTTTTTTCTTTTCTTTTTTCATCTTGGTTTTTTCTTTCTAAATTATTATTGTTTTGGGAACAAGTTTAATCGGCATGGCAGTTGTACTCGGCTTAGATTGGTCCAATGAATTTGGTTTTGGCTGTATTAGCTTTTTAGTTTGAACGCCACAAATCTGATTTTTTTTGCAATACATAAAAGTAGGTAACTTCTCTCTTTTTGTACTTTGGTAGACTTGGTCCTCTTGTCTTGTGCCTTTTCTTGTTTGCTTTCTCTGGCTAGTAGCAGGCCTAGTTTGTTTACTCTGTTTCGCCTCCTGGCCTGCTCTTTCTCTACTATAAACCACTTCTGATTGACATTTAAAATTGGGGGATAATGCGAATGGGGTCTAGCTTAATGGAAAATGACATTTGATTTGCAGACGAGTGGTATAGCACATTAGTGTGTATGAGAAACATAAAATAAAAATAATAAAATTGGGCAGATAACATGCATTTTCAAAATCTTGCATTTATTATTAGAATGTTGTTTAACGAACCCTAAAATTAACTGAGTATACTCTACTACAAAATTATTTATTGAATTATTAATTTATTTTAATATAAAATGACACAAAAAACAATATTAAATTGTCAAATAAATATAATTTTAATAATTACACCTTACATTAGGGGTGGGCATCTTAAACCGAAATACCGAAACCGTACCCTAACCGCACCGTACCGTACCGATTTCATACCGTTTCATTTGGTACCGATAGATATTCGGTACCGTACCGTACCGTACCAATCGAGTATGGTATGGTAGCGGTATCAAGATTTTGATACCGGTCAATACCGTACCGTACCGAATAGTACTCTATTGAAATATAAATTTTTTTTTTTTCATTCCCTCGCTATCTGTCTCTCGCTTGCCTTTCAATTTCTCAAACGCTTTTGTCATTTATGTTTGGATTGTGTTTGTATTTTTGTAAGCCATAAGGCATAAGTTTAACTCTTTTTGATTGTAAGCCATAATGCATGAGTTTTAACCATTTGGATTTGATGAATATGTTGATGGATAAATATTGATTTGGTTGATTTGGATATTGAATATGTTGATTAGGATTTGGATATTGAATATGTTAATGGATATTGAATATTGAAAATGTTGATGGATATTGAATATGTTGAATCTTTGAATTTGTAACTTAGGCATCACTTATTTTGGTGTTGAATATTGAATTAGTTCATTTTTTAGTTGTATCATTTTGGTACCGAAATGGTACCGATACCGTACCGATACCGATTTGGCACGGTACGGTACGGTACGAATTTTGGCAAACCATAATACCGTACCGTACCATACCGATTCAAATTTCTGGTATCGGTAGCGGTACGGACTCAATACCGTATCGTACCGTACCGTGCCCACCCCTACCTTACATCACAACCATGTTATTGGGAATATGCATTTTTTTTGTTTTTTGGACCTGCCATTGTTTGCACTCACGAGTATGTAAACATTTTTCAGGTGTTGGGCTACCCTAGCAAACCCATTAGCCTCTTTATAAGACGATCCATAATCTTTCAATCCGATTCCAATGGTGAAGATCTTGAAGGTTGTGCAGGTGCATGCCTTTATGACAGGTAGACTCCTATACAACGCTCTCAGGCAATAATAAGCTTCCATCAATTGATGATCGACCAATTGTAAACTAATCAATACACTTAGCCAGATTCTTTGCGGCATTTTATGTTTGCATAGATACTGTATGCACTTGAGAAATGTATTAAATTTTATTTATTTATTATCTAAAAAACATCGTTGCATGCTATTGACAGTGTGCCTATGGATGAGGAAGAGAAAGTCGTGCTCGACTGATGGTTGACGAAAACTTTCGCAAGTAAATCCTCTCTAGCATTGTTCGTGCCATAAGTGTAATTGAGGAGCTGTATGGGCTTGGTGTTGTCTAATAGTGTATTAGGGTGTATTATGGGTATTTTGGTAGTTAAATATGGTGTACTTTATTAATTTTACATTTTAATTTAAATATTAGGGTGTTTTCAGTTAATTTTAGAATTCGTTTAATAACACTCTATTATTATTAACAGTTTTCTATCAAAACAAACCCAACCTTAAGGTCCTTAACTATTGGCTTGCAGCCAAATATCATTACCGTGGTGACCTTCTCGAATCATCAATTTTTATTCATTTAAGTTGTTGATCAACTGTTGCAGGCAAGTTATTCTCCTGAACTCGAATCCCATCAAGAGCGGGTCAAGAAGGTGAGTAGTTGTCTCAATTCCACATGTAAACAAACGAAGGCTCACAAAACTCTCCAAAATATACGCATTCTTTGCTTCTTTTCCCTTTATAAGAAGAAGAAAGCCCTGTCAAATTCATCGTTAGCAATACATAAAATAGAACCAACACAAGCAAACTCGAAATCAACAATGTCGACAGAGTCTAGCACTACCATCCTTGCCTTTGCCTTTTGTTTCTTGTCCCTCCTTAGTTTCACTTACTCCAACACCACCGACGACAAAATCTACCTCACCGGCCTGGTCTACTGTGACAACTGCCAATTGAAGTCTATGACCGAGATCAGTAAGATGATTCCAGGTACGCAACGTTAATAAGTAGGTAACAACTACCTAATTGTCGTTTATAAGATTTGAATTTGAGATTTTATGCATGCATGCATGGGCATTGATCAGGTGCAAAGGTGCGATTGGAGTGTAGGGAGGGGGGGAACATAAAATTGAGCGAAGAGGGTGAAACCAACCAGCTTGGACTATACGTGTTTGAGTTGGAAAAAACTACGGGGCCTCTGAATGATTGTCAAGTGACACTGCTACACAGCCCTGACCCTGAATGCAAGATTTCCCACGAAGTCGACCCTAACAACAAATCGAAAACTGCGCCGGTGGCCACCCGGAAGCTCAACCTATTGGAAGGAGATAGTGTCGTTTTCATCGGACCAAGCCACCGTGTTTCCTACCCTCTTGGTTTGGTCGTTGAGAAAGCTCGTCCCGAGTGCGAGCAGTTCGCCAAAGCGCGCAAGCATTTTCAGAACTAATTTAAGGAATTGAAGACGAAAACCGTCTGATATTAGAGAAATTATAGAATAGTATGGATGTACCACGTCAGCATGTGATACTCCCATTCAAATATTGCCATGTGTCCATTTTAAAATAGAAATTAAACTTTTTTTACAGCTGGATTTATTTCTTAATTTTTATCTTATGAAATAAAATTAGAAAATTGAAAAACTTAAGAAAAAGAGAATTCCCAACAGCAACCCCTCCCGAACCCAACTAATCCCAAAAACATGCCATGACCGCCACCCATCTCCACACTACCTGCCATGACTGCCACCCATCTCCCTTCCTCTTCCTTTTTCCTTTTCCTTTTCAACCCTTATGGTAATTGTAGGTAATGGATTTTAAAGAGAGGTAGAGAAAAGTAGTATTGATCATTATGATGATGATGATGATGATGATGATGATGATGATAATGAAATGGAATAGTGGAAGCATTGGTGTTTGTGTTAATGGTTGGGAAATGTTAGAGTGAATGCAAAACAGAGAGACCCTTTGAAAGAATTGTTGTATTGTATTGATTGAAGTAATTGTTACTAAGGAGTTACAATATTGGATCTGGGTTTGGAAATAGTATGATGATGGCAAAGGTTGTCATGATCAATTTCAGAGAAAGGGGAATTAAGGAAGATGAGGGTTTGGACGCCGGTGGCAATGGTGAAGAGGAAAAGAGATGGGGAGGAAGAGGAAGAGAGAGGGATGAGATCCATGGAATCCATTGGTGTTTTATGGGATGGGCGGGGTTGGGAATAATTTTTTTTTCTTTTTCTGTTTTTCAAATTTCAAATTTTATTTCATAATATAAAGGGAGTTTCACTAAAACACTCAAAATGGGAGCTGAAATTATAAAAAAACACAACACCCAAAACATTTTATAAACACACCAAAAATCCATCATTACACACACTCAAAACTCATTTATAAACACACCCAAAAAATATACAATTGTTGACTTTGGGGTTGATTTTGGGTGTGTTTCTATGTTTAAATAGTGTTTGAGTTTTTTTTATAAATACATGTCTAGATATAAATATTTAATTTCTGTTTTAAAATAGACACATGACAATATTTGAATGGAAGTATCACACGTTGACGTGGTACATCCGTACCATTGTATAATTTCTCCCGATATTAAATCAATCTCCAATTTCAGTGAATTTTTCTTTTTGATTGCAAAGATAGATAAATTGTGGTTTAAGAAATCAACGGTTATGATTATGATATATGCACGGTTATGATTTGTGAATCACAACAGGTATAAATAAGGAAATGTACTTAGAAGTGCACTCAAGTATTATATCCGTGAAGATATTGCCATGTCGATTAATCTAGTCTTTTTATTTTTTACTTTATTAATTCTTAATTAAGATTCAATTTAGGACCTATTTAAAGAGAAGAAAAATACGATTTAAAATCTATCTTATAACCTAATAATCTCCTAATCAAAATACTAAACTGTTAACATGTCACCTATCAATTTAGCCCTTAATTATACTAAGCTCAAATTCCATGGTCCATAGTAGTTTGATTTTAATTTTTTATTTTTGTGTGAAAACTTGGTCTTTTCTTTAAAATAATGTGCTAGATAGCATGAAAGTAGCAAATAAATAATGATGTGTTCAAATTGGATTTGACACACATCACAACCCATATCATCATTAAGGCCCCAAAAATTGAATCATTCTGTGCCTGGTTAATACGTTAAGTAGTTTATGAAATGATTAAGATCGAAGAGGATCCATGACTTGTAATGGATCACTTGTTCATTTCCTTAAAATAAATAAAAAATAAACTCGCAATACCAACTCCACCATTCGTAATTTCATCAATTACTCGTCTATCAAAAAATAAGTTAGTTCAGCTAATCTTCTTATACTGTTAGTAAAGAATAATGTGAAATTAGTAAATAAATAATTATTAACGGCCCAAAAAATTGAATTATTGTGTGCCTAAGTCAGAAAATCTTTGAAGGCACGCAGAAAGACAGGTCCCCTTCTAGTACTATGAGGAAAAGGACAGCTCACAACAAGTTTGTCTATAAAATCCCAGATGCTCATTGAATGTCTTGTGCCCATCAAAGATTAAATATATTTCCATAGAAAACGTACCATTTGTGCTTATTTACTATTTACCATGGCTCTCTCTCACAAATCAAGGCCAATACTTCTGCTTAGCTTTTCTTTTCATTTTGGTCATTTGCTCCTCTCAGAGCATCTCCACCCACAAGGGCAAAGTCTAGGGCAAGGGCAAGCAAGGGCTGTTACTATTCACGTGAATAGTGTCAGCCTTTGCATTTGTGGTTCCACCCACAAGGGCAAAGTCTAGGGCAAGTCTAAGGCAATTACTATTCATTGTACTTTATTTCCTATTTTTTTATAGTTTAAACTATTAATTTTGATAATCTTTTGTAATTAAATTTTCGGATAAGATTTTCACCCTCTAAAATTGTGCCACGT